GAGAGGGGGGATTTGGTGCATCCCTAAAGACCAATAAGGCCGACATAATGTTTTGGCACACCTACTGGAGGACTACGCACGCTGGGGGCAAATCGCTTCGCTTTCTGCAGGCGCACAGGGAGGCATTGTGCTGATGTCTTCCCTTGCTGGGGAAGTAGGCGGGGAGGGGGGGGGGGCTGAGTGCGAGGACAACGCTTGGAACGCCTGGCTTCTCCGTTGCGAAGAGTTTTGGATGGTCTCCCCGGACAGTTCCGGTGGTTTGTTGTAAGTGGATCATGCTCGGTCTCCTTCCAGCATGAAGGGAGCCGACTGTGGCAAGCAATCGGGCGGGTCTTTGATAGATTTGAGGTTGGTCTTGTACGAACAGAAGCCAGAAGGAACTGGCGGCGATTTGTCGGGCCCCCATATGGCTTTGGTGAATTCTGCAGTGTCAGGCTCGGCTGTGGTGGCAAACTATGCGGCCACCAAGGCCGCGCCTGGTGCGCGCGTGGTTGGCTGTTTAGGGGGTGGGGGTCGGAGGTCGTGTTTCTCGCAGCTTTCAACATTAGTGACTCCTGCAGGTGGCTTGCACCACCACCACCACCACCACCACAGTGGGTGCACGTGCTCGATGGCCCCCACGCTATTTCCTCTTTGTGGGTAATGCTTGAAGCGCGTGTGTGTGTGTGTCAAAATAGGCGGAACCCCCAAAATGCTGGTTTTCCTCTTGGTGTCCCTTCAGCCAAGCTGAAAAGCGTACCCTCAACAAATTCACCCAAAAGGAATCACGAGGCACTCGCCCCAGCCATGCTGCTCACAGAACAGGCCTACATCACGACCCTCGTCCGCGGCCTGAGTGAGGAGATGACGCCCCGAGGCATCTTGCCTGAGGTGGAGGGATGCCGAAGCTTCCTGACCACATGAGCAACATGACTCAATTGAATCTCCACATTCATGTGCAACTTGGTTTAACTGGACGGTTGGGTTGGTTACCGTCCTCATTTGAGGGCAAAGCTGAAGGATGTTACCGCTTTTGTCAGGAAACGGGGTCAGACATCAAGGTGTGGCATTTCGCAGAATGCCTACCAGATTCAAAGGACGCGCCGAGAAAGGTCCTTGGAATCCTATGTGTGCAGATCAGGGTTGATAATAGCCCAAGCCCACATTCTTATTATCTAAGATGCTTTCCACTACCGCCAAGTTATATACTATTTTCAGGCACAAATGGGTTTTTTACCCCTCATACAGTGGCTAAATAGTCCCATCAAACCCCTGCAATTCGTGCGGGTGGAAAGCATCTACATCAGCGCCAGGCATCGATGTGCTGGCTTGCGTGGCCGGCGCCACGGTCACGCCTAACTACGTGGGCTACATTCCCGACGCTCGGTTAAGGGATGGGGAGGGAACTGGAAGGCACCACTTCCCATATTTTTTTGGGTGCACTGAAAGCCCTACGTGGCTGGTTGAGGGCGAACATGCGGAAACCTGAACGGCGTCTCGATTTGGCATGCGGTTGGGCCGCGCGGAAGCCTTGTACTTCTGCACATGTGCAGAAGTACTTGGCGGTGGCAGGGAATAAGTCAATGCATCTTGCGTGCAGAAAGTTGGCGCATTCGCAGAACATGGACGCATTCAGGGCGCTTAACAAACAATACAGAGTGCTTGTGCATCAGCGTCGTGTGACAAATTGCAGTTTGAAATGCTTTGGACCAGAATTCTGACCGCCACTATCCTTCTATACAGCTTGATGAACTAACTCATTTTTGCTCAAGGATTTCAGAAAATTAACGACCTTAACAGGCGCCTTCTCGCGATCTTGTGTGCCAACGCAAACCTAAAACCATGCCCGAACAGAAGCAAGCAAGCGCATGGTTTGATCCTTAGCCCCGCATGGGCACCTGCTCACCTGCATCGACTTTTCATGGTGGGTTGACAATTCAACCCCAGTACCTGGAACCTGGGACAATGAATTCCATGCTTCGCAGCCTTGGAGTCGTGCGCGGCCGAGTGGGGTGCGGCGCACTGATCCCGTCTGAGGATGCGAGCAAGCGGAACAGCTGGATTGAGCAGGAGGGGCGGAGATGCACGGGTTTCTCTTAAGGGAATCCAATTGGTGGCTCCTACAACCGCGGTTGATTCCTCAGAATGAGGGGAGCCCCAAAATGGGTGGTTCCTTTTGTTTTCCCTCCAAAGACCAACACAAAGTTGATTCCCCGAGAAGCGGCAAGACGTCAGGAGCCTTTGGAGGTGGTCGCTGAGTGCCTTGCCACCTTGGGCAGGTGCCTGGTGCTTGCGCTCGATTCGGCCGGTGTAGTTTGGGGCGCGCTTCTTGGCGGTTTTCAAAAGGGTCACCAATGTTGGGGTGCTGAAAGGGAAACCAACAGCCTCGCCGGCCCTTTTTTCAGGGGTCCTCTTTCATAAGATTGGAGCATCGCACTATCGGTAGGGTCGACCTGGTCCGGAAAAAAGAAGAAGAACAAGAGCACACACACACACACACACTCTGATCAATCCAAGGAATGCTCTGGTTTACTCCTACAGCGCTAAACCCATTCAATTGTGCACGGTTTTCGAAAGGCTACGGTATTCTTGGTTTGGTCATGGATAACATCTGAAAATTGGTACTGTTAATAGTTTGGACTCTCCCCTGATCGCCACTTTGTGGTAGGAGAGCATATGGGCATCTCGGGACAAAACTGAATCCCATCGTCGACTCTTATGAGGAGACAAGTCGGGAACATGCTGCTTTCACAGAAGGCAGCAACAGGAATTCAAACGCAGGCCAAAATCAAAAGTCTGTGCTACAGAATTCTACAACCACCAAGCACAAGCATTGATTTGGGCTGTTCTTTGTTTGTCAAGTTTTCTCTGCGTTTGCCACAGACCCACCAAGAAAGGGTTTGGAATGTCGGTTTCTTCGACGGGCAGTCGTCGCGTGCCAGGGATCCGGTGGTGGTCACAGGGCCTTTTAACAAGCTGGCCGGGGGTCCCAGAGGTGTGTCAGAGGACCCTTTTCCGGAGGTCCGTTTTTCGTCTCGTGGGCAGGCTGAAATCAGTAGAATGGGTGTGTGGGGTACAAGGCTACCAAATTTGGTACCCTTTCTCCAACAACCATGGAAATGGAGGATTGGAAGTTTTTGGAAGACTACTGTTCTCTCGAACAGACCCCTTGACACGAACTGCACCTAAACAAACAATTGTGTCGGGCTGGTTTTACCCTCCCACTTCCACAGCTTTCACTGCCTGCAAACGATCCATAAAGTGCCATAAACCAGTCTCTCCGCTTTAACATTAGGTTCCTGTTGGTTCGCCAATTTCGAGACAAACACAAAGTTCTCTGAGACAGATTGGCCCAGCAAAACCTTTACCCATGGTGCTCAAACAAGTTCGCAAAGCCACCAGCCGTCTTGTCAGCAAAAGGGTTAATATTGCTTGATTTACACAATATCGGCTCAAATCCAGGGAATGCCCTGGATAAAACCCCTAAGTCTACGTGGCAATTGGATTGGCAATGGAAACGTGAACACCATTGGAACTCCGTTTTCCAATCCGCCGGGCAAATCGCGTGCACGAGGGGCACTTCTTCCTGCGGTTCTGCCCGCGTGCGATGAGCAGTCGGGCGCGGTGGCCCAGCAGGTCATCGGTACTCCAGTCGGCAAGTGTCAGAGTTGGGTGGCCCTAACGAGACGTTTTTTGGCCCATAGGGTTCCTTGTGTTGGTTTTCTTTCACTTTTGGTTCCCCATTTTGCATGTATGCAGGTTTTTATGAGACCTTGAGACCAGACCATGTCCCATGCTGCCATCTCCCGCAGAGATTGCTCCCTGCTTTAAGGTCACGAGGTTCTGGGCACCAACAACAAATCATTGAACTCTATTTAATATGGTTCTTTATTTATGGCACAGGGTGCCAGCTAGCCGAGGCTGGAGTTTCTTCCACATCAACATGAGGGGGCCAAATTTGGAGGCATTGGCTAGATGTGCCCACCTGTTGTCCACACAGAGGTCGGCCCCTATTTTGATACATACCCACATCAGTTTTTTTTTTTTTTTTTTTTTTTTTAAATTGTGGCTCTGGGATCATTCGGTCCAGCGGCTGCTTTTTGGTTGGACACGGCCTACGCCCAGGCTTCGCACAATGGCAGCAGAGAAAAGGGGTTATGTGCAGGGCGCGGGGTGGAGGGCTTTGTTGGAGCAGAGGTGCCTGAAGCCCATTTCTCATGAATTCATAGTGTGCCTTTGACCTTTCCCTTCAACAACTGAACAACAAGGGGCTCCACCCCAATCATTGGAAACCATCCGGTAAGGAACGGCTCTTTTGGCCCCAGGTTGATCGGCCAGGCAGATGAAAGGGGAGTGTTCCACATGATGGGACACCCCCTCAATCAGCCATTATCAATCTGGGTTCTCATTTCTCAGGCAAACTAAACGTGTTAAGATAAACGAGTTCCGATCGCTTGCCTCCAATTTCGAAACCTGTGGGTCTGTCTTGCTCAGGGTACCCCGTTTCGACCGTTTCGAGTCTCTCAAAAGGGAAGGAAACAGGACAACCACTTAGAGGGTTCCTGCCAAATCCATGTGTGAAGACCCATTCGACGGGGTCGCCAAAGCGTGTTTCATCTCTTGGGAGAGTGAACGAGTTTGTCCTGTCGGGGGCGCGGGGAAATTAGCGCTTTTCCGATCCAACACAGGGCAGAAATAGTGGGACACCCCCTTGTAAATGATGTCCCAAACATCCCTAATCAAGATTCGCAGCTGTGTGAGAGTCCGTCAAAGTTTGGAGCAAACAAAGCGAGGACGATCATGTCGGCCTTGTGGAAAATTTGTGTGCACTTGTCCAGATTCTGTTACTCTTGTTCTTTGTCACCTAGAGGTTGCTCGTCATAAGCTGGAAGTTATCGGTTCTCAGGGCTCTTGCTGTCTTGTTTTGTCGCGGTTTCTCGCTGAGATGCTTCCGTTTTGACATTGTTGACGGACATGTCTCTCACTCCTGGGGTCTTTTGCTTGAAGATGTTTCAACCAAGGCAACTGGCTCTGAAGCCCAGGACCTTGAGGCTGGATGTGTGGTCAAGGGAGAGCCGTCTTCCAAGGGGAGATGAAGCCAGAGACCTCAGCCAACAGGCTGTGCGGACATAGTTGTTTGGGCTTCTTTCCAATCTGACGCTTTGAGAGAGGAGACCTGCGGGCAGGTGGCGAGTCATGCAGTGGAGGCACCACCCCTATTTGCAGCGTAATCCAATTTGCTGGACTGTGGGATCAACTAGCCAATTAACCAGCCAGCCAGCCAACTAGCCACCAGCCAGCCAACCACCTCATTTGGACGTTGATTGCCCATCTTCCCTTTTCCATCTGGAGGAAGAGCTCCATGACTTCCATCACCGGCATCCTTTGAGGTGACTTGCGGACCATGGGCATGCCTGTAAAAAGAAGTCGGGTTTTAGGGCTGCCTGTTTGTGATACGAATCGCCTTTGAAGCGATGTCCTAAAAACGGGCCTCTTTGCGTAAGTCTTCCCATGCCACGCAGCCTTTGGAAAGCCAGTGCCAGGGAGAGGCAGATGCAGCCTGGGCCTCAGACCCCAAAGCCGCGTTAAGCCTCCCCTTCTTGGAGGTTCCAGGGCAGGGGTCAGAGCACTTTTTCGCACTCGGTCGGTCGGAGCTTGTCAGGAACGTGTCAGCCCCTTCATGTTGGGCGCAGATTGGAGCTTTGGTTGGGGTGCCCCACGGGCAAGTCCCGGAAGCCTCGGATCTTTCACCATTCGTCTTGACCTGCCAAAGCCACCCGAACCATGGAGCTTTGGTGTCAGGGATCCTTTCGCATGAAAAGCTGTTTCACCGGCCTCGCTCCGGCTTTCCGCGATTCCGCGTCACGTATAGGCAGTGGGCGGCATCCTCACCAGCTTGACCGTGAGGAGCCGTTCGATCCGACTGGCCCACTTCCAGCTGTTCCGCGGATGGATGGCTGTGGTTATATTGCCTCTCTTTGATTCTGGTCTCAAACTTGGCGAGCTACTTGGAACCCGAAAAGGAGTCGATGTACGTGGCTGGCGTCCCTAAACCGGAGGACGCACCTCGTTGAAGTATGTGTCTCGCAGGAGCACCCCTGCCTCGGACTTCTCGGGGACGGCCAACTCCGAGGCGCGGAGGTGAAGGTAGATGGCGCATGTGCCTGCCCCCCGCCATCTTCCCATCTTCTCATTTTGGTCATTCGTTATAAGCCTCCCAATTTGTTTAGAGGGGATTGTGCCGTCTACTTTCACCCTGCAAAGATATGGGAAATCGGAGGGAACAGATTGGACCCATAGAAACCTGGTTTCCAGCGGATGCTGTTTTTCGTGCGGCAAGAGCAGGTGCTTGCGCCCACTTCTGACAGAACCGTTGCCTCGTTTTTGGGAGCTGCATGCGGCATAGCGTTTTTGGGAGCTGCATGCGGCATAGCTGCCCTTTGTTTGACGTAGTGCATCCGACATGTGGCCTGCGACTTCAGACAGGGCCATGGAGGGAGAGCATACGTTTTGATCTACGTTTCACCCTTGTGTCGGGCCTTTTAAACGAGCAACACGCCAAAACGAGTCTCAAATATGCTGGTTGGTCAAACACATCTTTATATGGTGTCTAATATAGCGGCTTCTATTTCATTCATGTGTCCCTGAAGAGCCTCCCGAGGGAGGGCCTCCCCAGATTTGAGGAAATATGCCCGAATCCAAATTAAGCCTTGTTGAGCCGAAAAAAAGCCTTATGAAGCCAAATAAAGCCTTAAAAAGCCTTAATAAGCCTTATTAAGCCTTATTAAGCAGTTATTCCTTATTAAGCCCCTTCTCAATGAAGAAATAATTAAAACAGATTGACTGATTGACCGCTGGCCGGCCAATTGCATCGAATCCTAGAACATATGCCCCAGAATTGAGGCACACTTTGAAAAGACCAAACCGTTGTTTCTTTTTGAGAAGTAAGAGGCGTGGTAGGGGGAGGGCAGGGGGGGGGGAAGGGAGGGGAGGGAGGGGAGGGAGGGGAGGGAGGGGAGGGAGGGGACGGAGGGGACGGAGGGGACGGAGGGGACGGAGGGGACGGAGGGGACGGAGGCGACGGAGGGGACGGAGGGGACGGAGGGGACGGAGGGGACGGAGGGGACGGAGGGGACGGAGGGGACGGAGGGGACGGAGGGGACGGAGGGAGGGAAGGGGAGGGGGGGAAAGAGGAAGGGGGGGAAGGGGGGCGGGGTGAAATAGTTTGGGGATCGCGGGAAACAAACACATCTAAGAGCGACGGCTTCCACTGGCTCCAGTTTGGTTGACATGATTTACAAATAACACCTTCACTTGCTTTTATCCAGTTTGTCCAATTTAAATGAGACAACTAAGATCAAACACGGGGTGGAAGCAAAACGCGTGGAGTCACACTCGAGGTGCTGGAGGTGCTGCGGAGCATTCACGGGGAGTCCTTGGCCGGCGACACAGTGGAGGCGGGGTCCCGGGGTGCAGAGCAGGTGGACCCGTCCTGCTTGCAATAGAGGTAGGCCCTTGTAAACCTTGAGAACCATGCTGCTGTATTGCCAGAAAGGCCACCCTTGTTTAGGAAGCACCCATACAGTCTAGGTTACTTTGTTTGAGGGAACCTTTGTTGTTGTTTTGAAGGGAGAGCAAACGGAAACTCCATCATTTTGAGACTCGCCCTTTTTGTGTTCTCCCCTCTCTCGAACCTCCGGAAAGCGTTAGAGTCTGCCACCTCTCATCACCAAACAGTCAGCTAGCTCCGTTGTCTTTGATAAGGCGCTGAGATGGGTGTGTTCTTTGTGAAGGGTGGTTTATAAGGCAAATTTGAGGGACCCAGCTAATCGAGGGCTGCCTCAATTTAGGACACCCAGAGGAGCATTGTCAAGCCGGTGCAGTTGACTTCACTCTAGCCCGGTGGCTGAATATGTGCACACATTTGACAAACATGGGCTCATGTGACATTAGAACCATGCTGGCTCTTAGGCAGTGGCAAACGACCGCCTTACATGATCCGAGGGTTTTGGAATATCATCATCTCACAAAGACCGCCGTCCACTTCTATGATGCTCTAAAAGGGCACTGCGTTTGTTTCGGTTTGTCAAGCACGAAGCGATCCATCAGGGCCCCCTTCGGCCGATGCGCCAGGATTTGATGCGGGCTTGTGAGACGAGCGTGAGACTTGGAAAGGCAAGACACGCGGCATTCGGCGCTTCAGGGGAAGCCGAAGCCGGAGCCGCGATTTGGCCGGCTCAATTGCTCATTGGAGTCAGGATTAGTTTCAATTGTTTGAGGTCTTTGATGTACTGAGAACTTGAGTGTTGACTTGCGCATGAAGCAGATACGACAAGCGCATGCACGATACCACCGAGTCCCAGGCTTGTCCTTGGGATCTGCGACAATTTTTGAATCTGCTTCAAGCTGTCCCGAATCTGATACTTCTTGGCAGTCTCCCACAAGCGATTGGATGCGTTGCCGAAGGTTTTTCTTGTGCCCGGTTTCCGGACATGGCGCCAATTTGCTAAGATTTTTGATCAAACGCATGTTTCTCAACACACACACACACACAGACACACCTGGAGATGCAGGTCGAGCTTTTCGGTGCGCTTGTTTTGAGCCCTCCCCAGTCCCTGCTTGTCCTGATCCATTTTCTTGCCGGCTTCCTTTTGCACCATCCAAAAGACGGGGATTCAAAAGGGGAATCCCTTTTTTGCGGCCGAACGGGGCGGGGTCCCTAAATGGGTGTCCTTCTGGTTTCTCTTTGCATCTCTTTTGACACGACTTTAGTATGGTGCGCTGAAGAATGGACCGGTGAAAGAAGATGGCCCAATTCCCACCCATTGTTGATGTAGGGAAGCTTACTTGCCCCATCTACCAACAAATTGATGCTTGGTGTACCTTTGCAAGGGGTCGGGGGGTGGTACAACTCCGAGGCCACGCAGCCGAGCTCCCGTGCTCGCCGGGCAGCGGGGCCGCCGTGTGGAGCCTGGCGGGGCGTTTGGTCTGCACGTGAAAAAGCGCGCGAGATGGTGGCTGAAAAGTCCCAGGGCCCTCCGGGCTTGCTCTTGGCAAACTGTCGCGTTTGCAAGCCCTGGAAACGGTGGTTCTAACATCATTTGCCGGGAAAAAGAGGAGCCTTTGATTCTGCTCTGCTTCCAGGGACTCAGCTGGGTGAGGGACTTGCTTGGTGTCCTGCCGCTTCAGGTGATTGCACAGAAAGGGGCCTACCATTTTTTTTATTTTTTTTTTTAACCAAGGTCGAGTGAGTCTCTGCCAAGATGGGATGCGGAGGTATAGGGAACCCTCAGCCATTTTTTTTTTGTAAAGCATGTCTTGACTCAGGCACACCTTGTCTGCAACCAAACCAACACAAGTAAAGTCCCAAAGGATGAACCACAAACCAACACAAGTAAAGTTTGGCCAAGATGACATCCTACATTTCGCCAGGGGAAGTCAAGAAGTTGCCCCGTACTTGATTATGGGAGAGGGTTTGCAGCCAGCATGACAACGTGTTTGCCTAGCCAGCATGTTGTTAGCTTGAAGATTTGGTTATCCAAATTTCAGCCGCGATTCCAACCACAAGGTCAACAAGCGGTCTGAAGCAAGCGTTTGTTGCAATGATCAAAGCATATTGAGTTTATGCTGAGCCGCGAATGAGGAAGCGAAGAACCTCCAAGAAGTGAGGGTACAACTGAGGGACACCCGTAGAAAAGGATCCGGAGCTCATACCTCCCGAAAGCATGTCGGTCAAAGAAGTCCAAAGACCAGCTACGCCCAGCCGGCGACCGTTAACTGCTACTAAGCATCAGCCCGAAGAAACGAGTACCACAGGCACGCAGCCGTTGCTGAGGCCCACTCGATGACAGGCTCGGGCAAGGGCCAAGCTGGCTTCGCCATGCTATGCAGCAGTTTCACTGGTGAAGCTCCCTGTTTGCTTTGACATTGACACTCTAATTTCCAGGGCATATGTTTAAGCTGACATGTTTAGCTGTGGATCCAACCATAGCCTGTTGCGACCTTTTGAGGGCAACACGGCCTCTTGCCCCGCCTGTGTCGCAGGCATCGAAGACGTGGGCCCCTCCATCGAGGCTGTGGCCCGGGATGTGTCCTTTGGGCGCCCCAGTGAGGAGGTCTAAGGGTGCAACGGGTAATGCTAATTGTTGGTTTCCCTTCGGTTTTCCCTGCGGAGGTCCAAGATGTGTTGGTTTCCCTTTTTTCTGTTGGTTCCCCCCAACATTTGAGGAGGGTTACGGTGTTCGTTATTCTCCGCTAGGGCGGCGTGTTGCGACCGTGGCTCCGGTGATGCCATGCAGGATTTGGGGACCGCAGAGGATTCCCTGATGGAGATCCATCAGGCACGGTGCGCAGCCATGAATTTGAGAATAGACTCACCCTTCCTCAGCAAGATGGGCCAGATAGAACCTGAGTACCACAGCACCCGGTTTCGGAACAAGGGGGATCCACGTCGGAAGCCCAAAGTGAACATGCTTTCTGCCCAAAAAGTTCCAACGATTTGCGTCTCCCTCTGACTCGGTCACACAGATGGCCTGGAGCGCTCAGGAGGTGGAGGAGATGGTGCCCCAAGCTGGGGGACCCAGCACAATAGCGCGACCAGCCGAACCTTGCCGTTTGGGGAGGACTTGAGAGGAGACCAGGCAATCTTTCCGATCAAGAAGACAATGCTGGGGGCTTGCCTGTCCGTCCAGTTGAACGAATAGTGAGTGATGCTGTGAGTTGCTCATTTGCTGCCCCACCGTAGCCTTGATAGTGTGCCAAAATTCGAAGACAGTTTCAATTGGTGGAATGACACTGCGAGGGGTGATGTCTCCCTGACGGTACAGGTTATGTTCTATACGGACCAAAGGATTGTCGGGAGCTGCGTAAGGGGGATCCCCTTGGCAGGGAATACTCAGATTAGGGTTGGAAATCATAGTCTCGTTTGGGCGAAGCACAGGCTTTCTTGCCATTGTTTTTGCAGGCCTGAACCTGAGCGCGACTACGCCAAAGTTGGCACAGGTTCTGAGGGGCTAACAGCAAGGCAGAGCTTCTTGATCAGCAGCATGGGTCATTCTGAACATCTTCGCGTTCATCAAATGGTTGCGACTGTCAGCAGAACCTGACGCTTTCTCACCAGGAGCAGAAAACTGCTCTGGCCAAAGCAGCCCCCAGGCCTTGAAACGAGGCGTCGAGTTTTTGGCGGGGCTTTGCATGCGGAATGGCCTTCTTCGGCCTGCCCAGCGCGTGTGGGGCGAAGCCGGAAGGGACACGGGCAGCAGTGGCGTAGGTGACAACAAGGGCCGACGTGGCTGAACGGGCGCGTTCACCTTTGTTTCCCTTCTTTGGGTTTCGGGCAGGCGGCTTGGTGCAGCTGACAGCTCAAGGAGCCCAGCTGACCGCTGGCAACTTGCCCCAAGTAAGACAGTGATCGCAAGACAAACCAGAAAGCGCCTTTCAGCACCGCTTGGCCAGGTTTGCCACACGCTTCCCAAGAAAACGAGGAGGGTGACGAATGCAATCTAATTCAACCACCCCTCCTTTCTTTTTCTCGAATCTCACCAGCTGCAACAACCACATTGGGGTCGCCTGACGTGCGCTATTTGAATTTGGCAGTTCAAGCCACTTCAGCCACTTCAAGTGGATCCAAGTGGCTCCAAGTGGCGCGTGCCGCTTCAAGTGGCTCTAAGTGGCTCCAAGTGGCACGCGCCGCTTCAAGTGGCTCCAAGTGGCTCCATGTGGCTCCAAGTGGTGCATGCCGCTTCAAGTGGCTCTAAGTGGCTCCAAGTGGCATGTGCCGCTTCAAGTGGCTCCAAGTGGCTCCAAGTGGCACGTTCTGTTTCAAGTGGCTCCAAGTGGCTCCAAATGGCTCCAAGTGGCTCTTGTCCAAGCGGCACGCGCCTTTCAATTTGCTCCAAGTATCCTACGGCTCTTCAAGTGGATCCAAGTAGACATGACGTAAAGGGCCCCCTTCCTAACAGGGTCCTCCCCCAAAGGCCCCAGCTGCAGAGTCGTTTCGGAAGACGTCCAAAAGTGTCCGATTCTGTTTTTTTGAGAGTTGGCGTGCCCACTTTCACTGGTCATTCACGCTCAAATGGAACTGTGTCGCGTGGAAATGGGGTCGCTTCACGCTTTGTCACGCTCCAATTTTTGAACGGACGGTGTTGCACTTCAGGCCTTGTCATGTTAACACAGCCTTATCAAACACCCACAAACACTCTTCATGAACAGCAAGTACAGTTATAGGGACGAGCCGGCTCAAGGAGACTTTCCATACAGCCCCAAGCTTATGCAACCGTTGAGGGTCTCTGATGGACAACCCTACTTCTTTCGACAGACCCTGCTAGGAAGGGTCGTTCGAGGTTTCGAGATATGAATAGAGGGATATACATCCAACTGCATGTGCTGGGCACAACAGTCGCCCACTCAGCCCATGGCGTCCGCGCCCTCCGGCCGTGGCTGGCCGTGTCGGGGCGAATGCGGCGGGAAGCTCTCAGGCCGAGGCGGGGTCGCGAAGTGGATACTCATACCTAGTAAATGGGGAGCACTCACGGCTATACCCGCCTAGCGGGGCTGCAAGTAGCTCCTGCCATTTGGGCTGCCTGAGGTTAGCAAGTCGGCTCACTTACCAAGTAGCCTGCTTCTTCAAGAAGGGGTCAAGTCTGTGGCAAAGAGCAAGCTGTCTCCAACTTCCTGCAAAATGCCACTAAACGAACCTGCTTGTTGTTTGGGCGCTGCCTGTGATAGCTGCAGGGTAGGCTGTTGAGATTGCAGATAGTGTCGTCACTGGAGACAATGAGCCGTATCAAAAAGGAATATCTCCTGGTCGCTCTGCCATGACTGTTTGGTCCTTTCTGTGAGCGCTTGGCTGTTTTCCTGCTGTGTTCATGCGAGCCGTTTGACCTGACAGCAGCCCTCGAGCACTCAAGTGATTCCAAGTCTCTGCAGACCACTGACCCAGAGAAGAAAGTGGCTAACTGCAGCACGTTGGCCATTACAACAAGCTGGCACCGGAGACTACCGACGGGTGCCTCCTGAATCCACTACCTCATGAAATACCTAGGCGACCTCATGCTGTACGACCTCATGAAGTACCTGCGCAACCTCATGAAGTACCTGTGCGACCTCATGAAGCACCTGTACGACCTTATGCTGTCACCTCGTGGTCTACCTCATGGACTACCACCACAACATCACCTTCTACATCCTCCACCTCATGAAGTACCTGTACGACCTCATGATGTATGACCTCATGAAGTACCTGTACGACCTTATGCTATTCCACTATACCACCTCATGAAGTACCTCTACGACCTCATGCTGCACGACCTCATG